AGGTTATTGAAGTAACATAATAAATTTTTACAAAATTTTAAAAAATAAATAAATAATTAAAATAAAGTTAATTAATTAAAAATAATAATGCAGAAAAAATGCTACATGTACACTCCGCAGGTGGAAAACAGCACCGCGAGCAGCTCTATCAAGAGATGGATACGTGTGACTAATAAGATGACATATCATTATTATTTACGTTCCATGGGCGTTACCTTTAAAAACCCCCTCTTGATTTCGCACCTTATTCATGAACTTTATGATGCTGTTAGCTCGTACCTCGGTTTGATGGTTTTTTTAAACTGCTGTTACTAGTATAACAACATTAAAGAGTACAACTCAAATAAAATTAACACACCATTGTGATTCAGTATTTATTTTGGTATATCATCAGTTCAGTTTATTTCTCATCATCAAAACATTGCACAAAACAGATAAAATTCGCACAAAGGCAGGACAAACAGAATATTACAATAAAAGATGATGCAAGGATAGTCTATGAAAGTTTTTTTTAAGAACCTAATTCCAATGTGGCGCTACATAAAACCAATTATAAATTTAAAAGTGTGCAACGATAAATGCGGTGAAATTGAGGCTAAATTGTCATACAAAAAACGCGGAAGAAGAACAACATTATAATAATAATAATGATAATATTAATAATATTAATACTAATAATAATAATAACAATAATAATAATATAACATACAAATTCAGTAGTAAAAAGACTGGGGGAATCACAATATAAAAGCAGTAAACATTTAAATAGTTAAAACTTTAAAATACAGACAAAATGAGGCTAAAAAATTTATGTCACAAAAGTAAAAAAGCACGAAAGGAAAAAAAACACTTTAAAAGAATAACAACATTAATAAAAAAAAATAATGATAATAAAAATAATAATAGTAATAATAATAGCAGCAAAAATACAACATACAAATTCAATAGAAGGAAAGATTAGGTGAACACAATATAATATATACAATTGTAAAATACAGATAATAATATGAGGCTAAACAATTTATGTCATGAAAGTAAAAAACGGGAAAGAAAATAAAATAATAATAATAAATAACACATTAAAGCCAGGCTCCGGAGGAAAAAATATTTTTGATATGTTATAGAACTAATTTTTCTAAAACAGAAAAAAAGTAATTTGATCAAAAACTGAGCAACGGTGAATGAGATACAGATTATTGAATCTTTAAAAACTGGGGGAAAAGGTGTAGAAATGGGCGGTTACGCCCCCTTTTTCTCCAGTTTTTTAATATTCAAAAATTTGTATCTCGTTCACCGTTCCCCAGTTTTTCGTCAAACTACTTTTTTCTTACTTAGAAAAATCAGTTCTACAACATATCAAACATTTTTTTTCCTCCGGAGTCTGACCTTAAAATAACAAAATAATTTATCATGGATGTCTTAAAAAAAAAAAGGAAAAAAAAAATTATTCAGAAAATTATAAACTGCTGTCCGCGCCCAGTCTTGGCATTGATTTTTGCCTATTGCCGTTTTGGTAGTTGACATTGCCGTTTTGGTCTTCTGCCGTTTTGGTACTATCATTGCCTTTTGGTCATTGGTGTCTTGGTTTTTTGCCATTTTGTCCAGAAACCCACCAACATGGGATGGATGAGATAATTAAGGGTCTTCGTTTTGTAGACACGCTATTAGGGTGTCTACAAAACGAAAACCGCAGACCCCGAAAAACGAAGACCCACATTTTTTTTCTTTTAATCGTGATGAAAATAATCTCATAATTATGATTTTGTGACAGCCTGGTGTAGTATCATTTTAAGAAAGAGAAAAAAAACCTGGGTATTCGTTTTTCGGTTCCTCAGTCTTCATTTTGTAGACACCCATATAGGGTGTCTATAAAACGAAGTATTTCTTGATATTCCTCATTTTATTCCGATGATATAGGCACTTGGCAACTGTTTTATGATGATTTTGAAACACTTTCAATAAGATAATTGAGAAATAATTGGAGGTCTTCGTTTTTCAGGGTCTTCAGTCTTCGTTTTGTAGACATATAGGGTAACTATAAAACGAAGACCCTTGAAAATTTCACAAACAGATGGCCAAAAAAATTTGTAATTTTGATTTTGTGACAGCTTGGTGAATATCATTAAAATAAAGGAGAAAAAATAGGGGTCTTCGTCTTTGGTCTTCATTTTATAGACACCCGGTGGTAGACTTTATAACTACGAGATTTGGCCTTGCCCCCACCTGGAGGTGAAGTGTTTTTATTACATTTCTTCATTTATATTTTCAAGTGTGGTTTTACTCTAAAGATGAACAAGTTGTGTTGCTGTGGAGATGTATTTTTTTTTTTCCAAGTTTACTTTTTGAATCAAATTCCAGTTAGAATTAAAGATGGTTTCAAGACCATTTCGCCATTATGCTAAATCAGTTTGTCAACTGTCACTAAATTATAACAGTCCCTTGTGGTAAAACAGTAAAGAGTGTAGCCCGGTGCAGCTAGGCCTACTTTTAGCACTGCGCATATATTGTTAGTAGGTCACGAAATGTATGATTACCTATACAACAAAAAGTGGTAGGCCTAGGGCCTAGATAGTGTTCCCCTCATTCTCATATACAGTATGTTTCAGTCAATGTTTATAAAAGGAATGATGCTGCCAGCGCCATCTGAAGGGTGGGAAGAGGGACAGAAAATACTAAGCAGCAATTTTTCATTCAGAAAAAATTATATAGATTATTACTCTTTTTTTGAAAAAGAATTTATGAGAGCCGGCATTTCTTTTTTTTTTTTTAATTGGAACAATAGATTATTTCGCTTTTGTTTTTATCGATGAGGGAGGGACTGTTTATATTTGGTCTGTAATGGTAATTATTGTATAAAAACTGGTTTAATTTTATAGTCTTTTAAGGAAAATGTATTTGAAATCACAAAATTGCATTTTTATTTTTATGCTGTTGAAATAATTGATGCAGCAAAAAAATTTTTTTTTTTATTCATGCATCAATATTTAACGAATTTTTGACGCAGACGGGAGTGATAATCTAATGAATTCTTCTGTTTGTCCTAATACTGTAATAAGATGATCTGAGGTATAGATCATATTACAGAGAAATAATATGCTTTAACTTCTACCTATACGTTGCCACTCACTCACAGTTGCGAAGCAAAAATAATTAGGCCTATTAGTAGATGTTTAATGTAAACCTGTTTTAAGCTTAATTTAGAGGGGGTTATGCATAACTCTCATCATTTTTATGAGTACAAAATGTAGTCTTTACTGTGACCCAATCCCTCCTCTGGAAAGTATAAACAATAAAATGTGGCAAAGACAAGCCAAACCAGTCACTCGTCGCAAAAATTGATTTTGAGTTATTAATACAGTGTTAGAGAGTAAAATAATAGTTATAAAATGGTTAAAAAAAATCATTCTAATCGGACATTTCCTTATGAAGTTTCAAGCGTTTAAACACACAGCTGTTTTAAGAACAATATATCAAAGTTTATGATTTCAGGCATTTCTCATGCAGAAACTATCTTTAAATCCTTAAAAAGTGATGTTTTAACATTGAAAATGGGGAAAATAACTGTATAGAATGATGTGTACATATATAAAGGTTAGTTTAATGCAATAAAATAGATTTAAAAAAAATTTGAAATTCCAGCTTGTTTTGGCCATTTTCTCTGAAACACAATTGGCGACGAGTGACTGGTTTGGCTTGTCTTTGCCACAAATGTTGAATTGTGTCATTTTGTGATCATCATTTTATCTTTTATTTTTTTTTAAAAGGAAGAGTACCTGCGTGTACGCGGTAGTGGTGGTGACGCTGTCTCAACAACAGGAGTGCGCATTTTTCATGCTGCTGCTTGGTTTTTTCCATTCTTGGTCTGCCTGTTTTTGTAAGGCTTAATTTATCAATTATTTATTTATTTATTTTCTATTTGTTTATTTATTTACTTTATTCATTTATTTATATTTATTTAACTTATAATAAATAAAATTTTAAAAAACATTCTGATTAATATAGGCTCTTTAATATAAGATATATATAATTTAAAATTTTTTTAATTCATGGTCCTACCTTTTTTCGGCGCCTTGAGACGATTTTATTGTGGAAGGCGCACTACAAATATCCCACCATTACTAAGAAAGTATAATACATACTCCAAGTATTGAAATACACGCCATCGTGTTGGGATTCAATATTTCGACATTAATTATGTCATCATCAGGAATGAAAAATTATCCATATTAGCAACAACATTATCATTTTCAAGTATACCCTGTAATCCTAAAATAAATTGGAATGCCTCACAGTTTTTAACATGATCAAATATAACACTATCAGATCGTGAAGAATGTTCTTTAAGTCTAGTTATTAAGCACCTATCTGTCTTACCCACCATTACTATTACTTAAGTCTACGCTTTCAACCCCTTTTATCCTAAAGCATACGTTGTGTACTCTTTTAAAATTGTTAACAATTATGGATGGCCCCTTAATGCACCTAACCTAACCTTTTGAATGTGTATTACAATAGTTTGAATTAAATTAAATTATTGTGCCCATTAATCAAACTGGATTTCGGCAAACTAAATTTGGGAATCTAGCATGATTCGCCAAACTGTATTCTGGCAGTTTGACCTAGATCCTCAATAATTGTAAATAAAATATTTTATCTTTTGTTATTTCACAACACTAATTAATAGCTTATATTAAAAAAATATTACCTTTCAATTGGTACAAAGTATCATTGTATTAACCTTATTAGGATTTTTACTGTCTTAAGAAAATGTTGGCATTATACATAAAAAAAAAAGACCAGGACCCACACCAACTCAAAATCGCCTGAACATGCATATTATGCTGTACGAGTAGGCCTATTGTAAACACATTTTGGAAATTCCCAAGGCCGTACAACGATGAATAGTAATGCCATGTTATTTGGATCGGAACAATGATAGTGGTGGCTTTTGAGGTTCAGTCGTGTTTGCTTTTGTTGTTGCTTGAACAGGAAGCTTCCAGCTAAAATATAACAGAGTACCGATATTTCAATGGTATTTTAATATTTGGTTTGTGTGAATACACTTATATTATAACTTAAATTGCAAAAGTTATAATAATACTGTATAAAGAAAGGCTGGAGATCATGTGAGTATATTCAGGTTTGTAAGCCTGACAACAACTAAAATTGTAGACTACAATTGTGTATACTCTATGTGTGTGCGTGTGTGTGTGTATCCATAGTTGTCTAGGATTATCGCACATTGTACAAGCCTATGAATAGACATGAGCTAATTATTGTGATGACTAGCAAACCTTATGGTTCCCTGTGTATCCCGAACTCTATGACCCAATACTGTTCTTATGTGTATTATTTTTCACCGGACATACAACATATCTACACCTATCCTGAATTTCGGGGTGCGGCTTATCCATTCTAGGTTAGGCTGCTAGCCCAATTAATTGGCCTAGGGTAGGACAGGTTTGTAGGCCTAGTATTTGTAATTACTACAGTGCATGCATATACTAGGATTCCGACTACGATTTCTACGACATTGCATTCAAGCAATGGTTTGGGTTGTGTAAATCATTCATTCATAAACAATTTTGAAACATGCTGTTGCTGTTCGAAACCGCTTTCAAAAACTACCAAACTACTTTTCGCGAGTTTGGTCCTGGTGTTACGAATGTCGCAACAAAACACACGTGGGCTGGTTGTTAAAACTTGCTGTGCGACGTTCCGGTTGGCTTGTATCGTTGTAGAGAGATTGATCTGCTAAAATTTCTGAATAAAAACTTGTGAAATTAATTTATGCTTCTTGAAGTTTTCTCTTCTCTTGAAGTAAATTATTTTACTTGAATTTGACTTCAGAAAGGCATTCGTCATCTGCGCGTGTGTAAACTTTGTATCGCACGATATTTCTCCACTGTTTTTGTTTATAAAACGTGGTGTGTGATGTGTACATGCTTTGCACAATGGGCTGTGAGTAGTAATGACTTAGGCCTAGAATTACCAATATATTAAGCTTAATACGACTGTTATTAGTCACCATAATAATAGAATGATTGTTTTAAATAGATAAATATACTCAATAAGTATTGTATTTTCTTAGATTTTATTAAACAAACCGAAATTTAAACGTAGCGCATCCGTCTAGCATTAAATGGGGATTTCCCTAGACCAAGAATACGTTGTTTCATTGCGGTAGCCCGAAGTTTAAACGCATTTCCAGTTGTTTGTCATCATTTTCAATAGAAAAATATGAAATTTCTTTATGTGAACATTTGTAAATAATGTCAGTGTTTCAAAATAATTAAAAAAAGTTAAATTACGGGAATGGTTTGGAGCTTAAAAATAGATGCGAATTATACACAGCTAGGTGACAAAAAAATTGTGATATTTCGCGTCCTAATTAGGGGTGTGGCTTATACACAGGTGCAGCTTATACACTGTAAATATAAGGGAACTTTTGGCATTTTATCGTGCGATACCGTAGCTCGGTGAATTTGCTGAGCGTGTATTAGTGTGTGATGAAAGTCCGTCGTCCTCCTCAAGCAGTGGTGAGCGACATTTGCACCCGGGATAGAAGAAAGTCACGGCTATGGTGGGATTATCATCGGATTTTTTCAAAGCGTACCCATTAATGCTGATAATGATGATGAATTAAGACGGGGTCCCCTTGGCGAATGAAGTGAAATCAAGGATGGAATGTGGAAGGACAACAATGTATAGCATTAGCAGAACATAAAAAAGATACTAAAAACACCTTTTCTGTACTTTCCATGCTTTTCAAAAAAAAAAAAAAAAAAATGCATCGCTGCATCAATTCTGTAACTTTGGTCTGACCAGAACCAGAACATTTATTTTTTTTGGCCTTATATAGCCTAATAAATTTTCATTCATTATTGTATGTGTGAAATCATAGGTGAAATCACGGTGAAAATTAAGTAAAGCTTCGCACACAGTAAACCCTTTGGTGTAAAATTACGAAGAGAAGTTAAACGATGTGGTCTTAAATCGTGTTGGTCCGCTGTATTTTATTTTTTACCTTGTTTTGTTTTGGTTGTGTGTGCTTAACTTCGTGACAAAGTATACATGCTACAAGAATGCTGACCCCTTATTTTATGTATTACAAAATTTATTGTATGACCTAATACCCCACTAAGTAATACGGAATATTTAAAACTAATAAATCAGTTGTGTTTCATTTTAGGCCTGATCACGGCCACCGAAAATGATCCACGCTGTGTGTATCACCTAGGCCTAGAAAATACATTATCTGGTGGTTTGAACCATAGAGAAAGATGATAAAACACTTCCTCAAAAGCTTAGTGAATCATTCTGTCACTTCAAAAGACTTTGCAAGTGTGGGAGAAGCATACTTTCCTCCACTCCACTGGAGAAACAATCATTTATACCCTACAAGCAGCAGACGAGTTACGAATAAAGGGGAGGCCGACGGGGACCAATTTCATCCAAGCGGGACCGGTTTTAGTGGCTAAGATCAATCCAGAGGACCGATTTTAGTAGTCCGGCCTACAGATTTTGGCGGCCAAAATCTGTCCGCCGGTCATTTTTTGGCCCGGACCAATTTTGGCGTGACAGGCCTACCATCTTTATAGCTCTGTGTGTAAATTAGTCATATCATCATTCAATCATTTAAACTGGTGACTAGGCCTGTCAGTGTGAGTTCATTGCTCATTATTAGATCCCTGGAATTAATTCCACAATGCTCACTGTGTTTCAACAGTTAGTATAGGGGTTTGTGGTGAGGGTTAAAATGCAAGTTACATGAGTGTGTCAAATTTATGGGTTGCAAACTTACTTATATGGTTGCCAAAAAAACTACCTTGTATTGTTAGTTAAGAGTAAACATTCATCGAAACCAATTTTCAAATAAAAAGGGAATCCATTTATACTCCTTGCCCTGTTAAGTTTGTCTGGTTTTTTGCTTATAAACTACATTTTGAAGGTATTCCAGATTTATAATTACTAAATACATAGAATTCTCGGAAAAATTTAAATATTCTCTCAAAGCTTAAGATCATTTTATCTTAGAGCACTGTTAGCAAGAGCAATGCAGAAAATATTTTGTATCTTCTTTAGGATTGTATGTTAGAGATAACTGGTTATAAGTGAAGCAATTGTTACAGTATGGTTTTGAAATTTACATAGAAGTGTGCAGGATTCAGATGTATTTCAACCTAGTATAATAAAAAAAAAAGATATAAGATAAGAATGTATAAATTATATAATAATTAATATATTGTTTCCTGGTTTTGTTATTTAAAAAATAAAATAAGATGCGTGAATGTAAAAGAATATTTTCTGCCCTTATTTGATTTATTGGAATTTTCACAGTTTGTTAAATTAGAAAAGTGTTTTTTTTCCATTATTAAGGAACAACTTGGTTTTTTTTTGTATTCTTTTTCTTCATTTATTTTTGTGTTTTACTGCCTTTATTTAATTTAAAAAAGAACATTTTTTTAATACTGAACTGTACCTATTTGTTTTGTTTTGAAATCTAAGCATGTCATGTTTTTTTGAAGATAAATAAAATTTTAAAAAAAAGTTGTAAACTAAATTGATGATCTAAATGAAAACATTCATTTTTTTTCAAGAGGGTTTAATGTTAAGATTATTGTTCGTTTTAGATTTAAATAGAAAGGAAAAGGAAGATCAACATGGCATCTACTGAGGGTAAGTGATAGAAATATATAAACAAAGTTGTGATGACTTGAGTTGTGATGATTTGAAATCAAACACTGGAGGCTGCAAATGTTGCATTGAGTTGACCCCTGCAGTCATGTACTTATAACATCACTAATAGTAATACACTCGTGGTCTCAAGCTTTATAGTACACTGTGACTGCAATGCGATGGTCGTTGCACGAGGCCACATATTTTAAATCATCATAATATGACCCATAAAAAGTGTCTATGTTTTCTATTGTCTTTCTTCCTGCCTTACGATAGCCGGTTTTCAAAGTGAATATATGGGAACATTTATATGTGATTTAAAACAGTTTTAATATAAATAAATGCAATAATAATTATGCTCATGTTTGCATTATCTTTAGCAGCCACCATGATGGGCCATGTCTCAAATTTAAAGGGAAAAAATAATGTTTTTGAGATTTGATACAAAAATAGTGACATTAAAGATAAATAAAAAAAGATCCTGGTAATAATGATGATATTGATGATGATTATGATGATGATAATGATAATGATGACAATGATGTTGCTGATCATGATGTCTGTTAGAATGATGATGATGGTGATGATGACAAATACGACAAATAGATAACATTTTTGGTGATTAAAATTATACTTTATAAAATGAAAATGAAATATTTAAAATAAATGTACTATTTTTTTAAAAGTTGCCAATATATTTTATGATAATAATAATAAATAAAAAAATAGGAGAACTTGTATAGCGCCTGTTAGAAAAAGAAAATATTTGTCACTGCTATTTCAAAGGAGATTTTTTAGGAGGGTCTTGAATGTATCGGTAGTTACAGTAATCTAAGCTTAAGGAGGAAGATAATTCCATAATTTTGGAGCTGCAAAAGAAAAAGAACATGTAGCATTCTAGGAACAGATAACCTGAGAGAATTTGTGGAATGAAAATATAATTGTTGCGAGATTGATGAGGAAAGATAGTGTTAAGCATGTCCATATAAACAATTATGAGTAAAGTGGAATAATTTTAAAATTCAGACATTTACTTATCAGGTCAGCAGGTCCACAGTATTTGTATTGAATTTATCCCTGTATTCCTAAAACGAATTAGTTTGACCTAGGCTTCAAAATTATGTCATTTCATAATCGTAAAACCAACTTTGAATGTAACTAATAATAAATTATGCGACCTTGACTAAAATTGATACCTACTGTATGCATACCGATTTTCCAAGTTCGATATAGGCAGGCTAAATCACCGACTTTTATTTGTAAATTTTTTACCAACGCTTTATTGCAATAAATAAAAAACGGTATCGTATGCGTTCCTAAAATATAATTACTTATGTAATTAATGAAACATTCAAGATTAGTTTTTAGTAGGCAACTTGCACATTACTATCTAACTTGCTATATGCAACAGCTTCTGATTTGCAGTCATTTGGCTTCACTGTCAACATAACAAAAAAGATTAACACGTGCCTATTTAATGACTCCTAAAATGTTCTATTGCTATCTGTCGTAAATTTAATTTGTACACGCTTGTTGAAATCTTGTACTAAATTCAGGTTTAAGAATACGGCGATATACTGTAGTGTGCATTTTGACCCTGTATGTGTTTACTTATTAGGAATATCTGAAGATGCTTTAAAACAGTTGCTGGAAATAATTTCGGAATGGTATGACGATCAGGGATACACCAGTATGCTGAAAGTTTTGTACAGAGATCATTTGAAAAATACCCCACGTTTAAGAAAGGCCTCTGGGACGATGGACTTGATGAACTTGTTGATTGCTTCTGGAAATCTGCATTCAAAAGATCTGACTCTCCTCTATGATACCATAAAAGTAACAGACACATTGGGTTTGGAAATAGAAATTAAACATCTTATACCATCATGTCCAAATTTTAGAGATATTACAATCTCAAAAATCACACCTCACAGGCAAAAAGTTATGAAGCTTGGAATGGCACTGATTGATGGTGATATAGTAAAGATAAGTAGACTATATAACAAAACTGCAAAGAATTATACAGATGCGTGGACTCTGATTATGGATCTAGAACACCGAAGCATAATTTATGAAGGAAAAATGGAGGAATTTATTGAAAATTTAAGAAAAAATGGGCTTGTTCAAGCAGTAAATGCTTTAACATCAGAAGGTATTTATTTTATTATTGTAGATAATATTAGTGTCAGGATAGGACAGAATAGTGATTAATTCATCAAATTAATATAAGGTGAACTACTCTTTTTGTTTTTTGTGGTAGTTAGGCCAAGACCAAAAGCGTTTGGTATTTTCGTCCCATACTACTATTGTACATAACAAATAATTGACATTTATTTGGTATTTCAATCACTTTCTTAACATTATTGTAGTGATAATAATGTGATTCTATAGATTTATAACTGAATATAACTATATTGACCTATGATAGATTTATTCATCAAAGCATGTAAAATTAAGCAAGCAGTGGGTCTGTACCATAAGGTAGTCTTATGGATAATAGAATCGGATGTTATGTCTTCCAATTCTAAAACATCTGGTGTACTGGCTGATGCAATAATCCATTTTAACCTATAAAATAATAATAATGTTAGCTTTACTATATATACTGTATATATGCCTGCTAAGTATTACTTTACCAACTGACACTGAAGATCTTACTGTCAATAATGAGTTTCATATTGAAGACTGTTTGATTTTTCTAGCATTTTATCTTCCATTCATACAGTATGTGTAAAATTAACTCTCAAGCGCAAAAGAGATGCTTCTGGCTATGAAGATCAACCAAATCCAAAATATGTTATTGATTTGTTGAAGGAGGTTTGTGAATATAAACGCACTCTACCAATAAGGGATATACCAGAATGTTCGGCCTTAATTAGAAAACTTGACAGGTTTTACACATCTATCAGCTTAACTTTGGACGAAATAGAGGAGGGATCTATTGTATTTCATCTATTTGCACAAGATTCTTCTGCTTTGGAGAATCTCTTAAAAATGCATTTAAGCAGTAAGCTAATCAAAAATTTAGCAGAAATACTAGTCCCAGAGAAACATCTTAAGGAGTTTCTAGATGAATGGATGACACACATCGATGAAACTGAATACAACACTGCTCTCATAAAGCTAAAGGATACAGGTGAGAATATTGTAGATATACAGAAGTTGAGCAAATTAATTGAAATTTTAAAATTAAAATAACTTTTATGAGAACAACATGGCATTTTTTGTAAAACAATGGCTTTAATAAAATTAATTTGTGTTCTAGGCAACTGCAGGAAAATAATGGCAGGTTTGTGACAATTACTCGCCAAAACAACTAATTTACCATTACAGTACAGTTTAAAAATACAATAATAATAGTGTCTACAACAATTATATTAGAGCATATCTTTTATTATTTTTTAACAATAGAGATTTAGAATTGGAACTTAAAATTAATAATTATTAATGATAATACTAATAACAATTAAAAATCATTGTTATAATTTTTACCAAATATATAATATAATACAGTATTTCACAAACAACAGTAAGTACACTTGCCAGTTACATTGTGTAACAGTATGAAGTTTAATAATCTAGTTATACCCCTTTTACACTGCAAGCAAAACTCTGGACACAACCTAGGATTTTATAATACCCGGGCTAGAAACTCCCCAGTTGTGGTTGGTCAAAATCAGTACATTTCAGTCAAAAAATACCACCTGGGTTGTCAAAGAACCCGTTATCGATGTGCGGGACGCATTCAGCATTGGGCAATCCAGGTGCATTCCGAAGTCGCCAGTGTAAACAACACAGTGAATTTAATTCCTGAGTTAGGCCTTGGTGCCTATTGCAGCTGATAGTCAGGTAGGCCTAAACTTTGCAAGCAACAGGCTGAGGCCTAGACATTTTTCAAATTAAACCACCTGCGCTCCGGTATAGACTTGATATCAAAACTGTTGATTTAATTTGCATAATTTAAAAACAATCTGCAGAGATACATTGCTTCAATATTGACAATAATTGCGGCTTCGTCACGATGAGGAACTCGGGCAAAGAGATGATCACCATCGCAACAATTGAGGGTGGTATTTGAATACAAGTTCCAGAGCCATAGATAGAAAGAGTTGCGACATTGAGAATTTAGAAGCCATTTTTTGTCCAACGAGCTCCTAAAATATACAAACCTTTAACATTCCAATTATAGTTTCTACGTAATTCGCATTAATCATCAAGCGCACGAGAACTTGCGCAAATATTCAAATTCTAAAGATAAATTCTAAATCACGCTTCTGATATTAAATAGTTATTAAATATAACATCATAAACACAATTAAACACTAGTTAAAATACTGTGTAATGTAATAAATACATATACTTTGCATGTGTACTACTGTACGTGACTTTCGCAAACAGAGGAGCGGAATGTCGCAACTCTGACAAGTTCGTTGTCGGTGTAAAATAGAAACAATTCGGGATCGACCCAGGCTTTTTCGTTCGATGTAAATGGAAATGCACCCGGAATCACTGTGGAATTAACACAGGCTTTTCCTTACTTTGGCAGTGTAAAAGGGGTATTTAGTCTCATTATGAGGTATACAGAGAGCTGAGTTGTTATTTCAGTTGGAGTATCCGTGCGTTTAACAACAGGCTGAAGCTGTAATCGCTTAAACACGTTCAGAGATTTCCTTATATCATTAAATTTATTTCAATCGTTAAACAATATATGAGTATTATATCTAATTGTTTAATTGTTCCAACATTGCATTTTTTTAAATAGAGAATAAATACTTAGAAAGCGGTTATACTTTTGAACAGATTAATAAAAAGGAAATAATTATGGTTGCATAATTGATAAAAATGAATGTTGTCAAAATTTATTAAATAAAACTTTATTTTGAGTCTGAAGGCAAGTTCACCATAAAAGTCTTCGTAACTTGCACGTGCAAGTTAAGTTAAATGTGGGAGTATTTAGTGTCTGAGGATTTCCACGTTTAGTAAAGTTTACAACTGATAACCATTTGATTGCCAATGAAAAGTGTATTACTTGTACCTGAGTATGTGATAGTTTCCCTTTTTTAAGCAATTGTACAATCAAAATTCGTTTTTGAAGTGTAGTTAGCTTCCTGCATTTTTTAATCAAATAAATGTAACTCCAGTAAAAAATAACATCGATCTAACCATCAGTTTTTTAAATTCAGTATGTGATTACCTAATAACACGGTAATACAATTGAAAAGAAATATTCTTAAAATTAATAATTATTATTGATAATAATAATAACAATTAAGAACCATTGTTATAATTTTTACCAAATATATAAAAATACATTTCACAAACAACAGCAAGTACACCCTCCAGTTACATGATGTAACAGTATATGAAGTTTTATAATCTTAGTCTCATTATGAGCCGTACGGAGAGCTGAGTTTCGTGAGTGGATTTCCTGCACGATTAAAAATCGTAACAGTCCTTGGTTTTGTCTACAGGAGTTCATGCTTCGAACAGGTCACTCCATTCATAGAAAAAGACTTTTGATGGAGAAAGTGTACCTTTTTAGCAAGGTTTGTCGAGGTTGAAACTAACTTCGGCTATATAAAGTTGATTAGAAGATTGAAAATGTTATTCTTGTAATGAATAGGTAAGGATTACTACTACAGTATGTCCATTTCTATTGATCTAATCTATGTAAATTTACTTTCAGTGTTTATACTTAATTAATTGAAACTGTTTAGAGATTTACTTGAAAACTATATTATATGAAATAATGTAATCGTTAAAGTTTATAATGATATTTGATAATATTTAAATAAAGCAAAGAGATTGAAATATGTTAAAGGGGAAGTGCGGGGATGAAATGATTAATTTTTAATTTAAAATAGAGGGATGGGCGACTATAATGACGGTGACGGCACTCAATTTTGGAGCGCGGTATTCGAAAACGAGGCTCGTGAACTGGGTCCCAAAAAAAAACTGGTGCTACAGGATTTTGAGCTAGTGTTATAAGATAGGGAATTTCCTAAAATGTACCGACTTTCAAAGGCTTGCATTCGGTAACCCCATAACAAATCGTGTCAAACTTTAGATATTCCAATGTAAATTTGGCCGTTCTTTTCATTTATATGGGTTTTCACTTATGAAAATGTCTCAATTATGTGTAAAATAACGATTTGCCCCAGTTTTTATTTCGGAAATTTGCACTAGACAGGGAGTCAGCTGATTCACTCAACCGTAACGAGCTGGTAACGACACAGTCAACTGATGAGATTGGTCGTCGCGAGCGGAAAATTGAAAAACTGGGACTGGCGAAAATATTCAATAATAATAATATAATAAGTCGAAGGCATTTTTGAAGAATCAATCTTTCAAAAAGATATGTTTGCTGGTTTGGATAAGGAAGTCTTGGAAGTGGTGATCTTAATAGTGGCGTTAAATAGGTTTGTTTAATACCAACTTGTCTTACCTGTGTAGTGCAGTACCAGTGTATGTATGTAGAGAATACGGAATACTACTCTACTGCCTGGCGCGGCCTAGGCCCCGGGCCCTAGGCCTAGGCATACAAACTATATAATAATAATATTTCAAACATTAGACAAACAAACAACACTATTTTAAATAAAGTATATTAATTTACATGTTAATTATTAGGTCCATGGAACTATCTAGGACCTACTACTACTACAGCATTACTAAAATGCCAGTTTATTCGTCCTGGAATGTGGATGATACCTTGAAAACTAGCTCAAATTTGCGCGGAAAATGGCTTGGAAAAATGTGCACAGAACTGAACTTCTGCATGATACATTGGCAATGGTTATATACAGTATCCAGATTAGTTCAAAGACTAATTTTCAGCATTCTGCTCGGAAATACAACCACCTGCCTTAGGCGTGGCCCTGTTGGTTCCATGCAGGATCAAAAACTAGTAGAGGGTCAAATGTCCAGCCATTTTGATGGTCAAAATACAGGGGCATTATTATTACTGTACATTAGAAAAGATTGAGAAACAAGATAGTCTATTATTTGTCTTCATTTGTA